GCAAAACCCATACCCTATAGTAAGCTATAAAAGGTCCCGAAATGAAAAATGTAAAAAAACTAGAAAACTAACGATCTATAGATACATATATACTTTATTCTCTAAAAACTAAATACAAGTTTACAGAGAAACATACAATATAAATACAGATACAATAGTCGAGGTAAACAAATACAGTATGATATTCTAAAAGTACAAAATTATGATGGCATACATGTTTAGTAACATGTATAATGAAAGGTTAAACTCAATAGAAATACAAAAAATTTGAGATGGAGACGCCGACGCCGACGCCACTATCGACGACGAAATATAGGTTTGTTGTGTCTCACTGCCGCTACATTGATGTCGCAGGCTCGAAACAAATCAAAAGACTTGAACTTTATTGTTAACAAATGAAACACTTCAAATCAACTCACTAAAGTTACAGGGAAACGGGGGAGAAGGGGCTTGGACTAAGCGACAAAGCATCAATACTATAAAATAAGAATTCTCCGAATTTTTTTTTAGCGTAAATGATCATTTGAACTTATACGAATATCAATCTTTTATTTGCCCTGATCTACCTCGCACTAATTGAAAAATAAACTTTTTGGAATATCTGTTTCACATGTGACGACGGACATGTTCCAGTGGTCGTAACCATAATACCGTCATCTTTTCCTTGAATGTAAACTACCAAATAAAACCAAATCACTGGGTTTGTACTTTCTCGAATAACACGACGGGTGCCTTTCTGGAGCATCCGAGATCACCCCGATGGATTTATATTACCGATCTATTGAATCAGCCAAATGAAACTGTTTTGTATGCCACCTCAACTGAAAGTTGGGGGGCATATTGTTTTACCCCTGTCCATCCGTCCGTCCGTACGTCTGTCCGTCCCATTATGGGTATATAGTTATTCCGCATAACTCCTCCTACAGTTTGAATCCTAGGAAGTTTTCTCTCTACTGTCTGTTTGTACATATATTGAAGGTGTGCATGTGGTCAGGGTTTAATGTTTATTAATATTTGCTCTTTTGGGAGATAGTTTACTAAAAATTTTGGCACCACCATGTCAATAAAACTGAATATCAAGCAGATATACCAAGTAGAGATATAAAAAAAAAACAGAGATGTCAAATACTGTTGCTGTCACCACATTAGTGAATTACTAAATATTTGTGTTGTAGGAAATAACAGTATGAAATAATATCATGGATTTAATTAAATACTAGATGTTTGACTAGACACTTCATGGAGAAAAAAATTCACAACCAATATTATAAGTCTATCAAAATATTAATATTATGCATAGCACTTTCCTGAGTATGTTATCAGTATAGTGATAATATCAATGATTAAGTGCAATTTTAAACTATTAAAAACAAAACATTTTACAGTTACAATAAGTTATAAAAAATATGTACCAAGAAAAATAACTCTAACAACCAGACATGGGGTCAATTACTTTTGAAAGTAATTAATTACATTCAATTACAATTACAAAATCTTCAATTAAATTACACATTACATTTGACTTTTTTTGACAATGTAATCAATTACTTTCCAATTACTTGGCAAATGTAATTAATTACTTCAATTACATTTGAAAGGAAAATTTAGAACATGCATTTATTCTATCATATGTACATAATTATCATACATTGCTTTATAGTAATAACAAATGAGATCTACAGTGACTATTTTCAAAATCACTGAACTATTTATTCAAAATTGTATGCATAAAAATAATATCAATATCAAATCATCTTTTTTTTGGGAAATTTACTTGCATAAGAAGAGCGTTTCCAGATAACTCCTCCTACAGTTTGAATGCTAGGAAGTTTTCACTCTGCTGGCTGTTTGTACATATATTGAAGGTGTGCATGTGGTGAGGGTTTTTATTTTTATTATCTTTTGCTCTTTTTGGGAGATAATTGATCTTTTTTTTTGTCATTTTTGGGGTATAAGCGGTTAAATGAGTTGAGTGCGGGGGTATCACTTTGTCTAGTTTACATTTTTTTTTCTCGTGTTGTGCTGTTACACAACTGTAACAGTCCGATGTAAGGTTAGGATTTAGCGCTCACATACATGTTAAACTCCTCCACGTGCACTTTCTTTATGTACCTGCCCCAAGTCAGGAGCATGAAGTTCAATTGTTGTCGTTGTATAAATTTGTGTCATTTTTTTTTGTAGATTGTTTATTTATAAATAAGACCGTTTGTTTTTTCGTTTGAATTTTTTCACATGGTGCATGGTGGCCTTTTGTAGCTGACTAAACGGTGTGTTGAAGGCTGTACGGTTGCCTATATATGATTTCTTACATCCACTGCATTTAAACTCTGGTGGATAGTTGTCTCATTGCCAATCACACCACATCTAGCTTTATTTCAACTTCTATGTTGCGTTTTGTATACTGTAACATTGTTTATCTTTTGTACGCATAACCCGGAGCCCTCTTTTCGGAAGCCCGAGCAAAAGTCCTTGTTCCGCGATAGAAAATTTAATTACGAACCCATATAAGATAGCTCGAATTTCAACTCATAATCTTAATTAATCTAAATGAGACTTAAATTCGAATCTTACTCAAACTCTACCTCAAAAAGTGACTCAAATTTAATGTTGTAACAAGAACTCTACCTTTAAATGTGACTCAAACTCGAAACTCAATGCTAACTAAAACTTTAATTCTAAAAGTGACTTGAATTCGAAATCAAAGACTAACTCAAAGTTTAACTCAAACAGTAACCCGAACTCTAATTCGATGGATGGCCACACTCATCCAAGGCACATACAACATGGGAATCTATCTAAAAATAGAACAGGTTTTTCCGAATTGGTCACGTGATTTTACCTCATCAAGTAATGGGATAACCACATCAAAGAATGACAGGACCACATCAAATAATGAAACAAACACATCATGTAGTGTAAAATCGTCAAATTTTGAAACATCATTACATAATGTTAAAACCATATAAAGAATAGGCAAATCATCATTACAAAATAACAAAACCACATCATGTAATGAAACAACTACATAACGTTAAGTCACATTCACATCAAGTAATGTTAAAACCACATTGACTAATGACACAACCACATTAAATAATGGTGAAACCACATCGCGTAATGACAAAACCATATTGAGTAATGACAAAACTATATCAAGTCAATACGAAACCATATCGTGTAATATCGAAATATCATTAAGTAATGATTATTCCATATTGAGTTATATCAAAACATCATTACGTAATGTCAAAACCATATTAAGTAAAGACAAAATATCATCAAGTAATAATAAAACAACATAAAGTAATATCAGAGTTCCACATAAGACAGCTGTGGCGTTCCATAAGTTTAGCACTTCAGTCTATAATGATAAATCCAAATTATTAAGTGGTTATATATATATATATATATATATAGCAATAAAGTGTTTGAAATACTAAATAGAACTACGCTTTCGAAAATCTTTTTGAAAAATCACCAAGTATTCCACTTCCTTATAAACTAATGTCGGGTTTAAAAAAAAAATAGATACTGCATTTTTTGGTTTTTCAAGTTGCAGTCTTCCTGTAATTTAAAACATCTAACGGGAACTTAAAGGCAAAAAGGTAAAATAAATGTCCATCAAATCTTTCTTTTTTGGGTTACTATCAATTCTTTTCACCTACAGCTACAGTTTGAGACACGACTATACAATAGTTGTCTTTAAAATTACCATTTAACATTTTTGAACAAATATTTACTTATTCATGTAATGCATGGAACACAGTTACGATTTTCTTTTCTTTTTATGTGTCTTATTGAAATGCGAAGCATGGTATGATTACCATTCCGTTACTATCAATGACAATTTTGATGGAAGTTCACATTACCCAAAGTTTTAGTTCTTTTTGGTCGGACGTATACATCTGTTCTTTTTGGTCGGACGAATACATCTGTTCTTTTTGGTCGGTCGTATACATCTTTTTTTTTTGGTCGGTTATATACATCTGTTTTTGTTGGGCGGACGTATACATCTGTTCTTTTTGGTCGGACGTATACATCTGTTCTTTTTGGTCGAACGTATACATCTGTTCTTTTTGGTCGGACGTATACATAAGGTTTTTTTTGTCGGTCGTATACATCTGTTTTTAGGTCGGTTACATACATCTGTTTTTGTTGGGCGGACGTATACATCTGTTCTTTTTGGTCGGTCGTATACATCTGTTTTTTGGTCGGTTATATACATCTGTTTTTGTTGGCCGGACGTATACATCTGTTTTGTTGGTCCGTAGTATACGTCTGTTTGTGTTGGTCCACAGTATAAATCTGTTGTTGTTGGGCGGACGTATACATTTGTTTTGTTGGTCTGTATACTTGAGGCATAGCGTTAGATCGTATAATTATGTGCTGCTTGTGGCGTTGATGTTCGAAATGTACTTAACAATACATAATAAGTACTAATACCGCATTATTTAGTATTGTATAACTAAAGTTTTTATTTTGTAGATTTTTTCCTGTACCATATTTTTTTCCTTCAGATGAAAAAAGGCTGAATATTGAGTACCCTCACCATTCAAAACTTTCTAGACAAAGACCCATTTTTAGAGCTTAGCATATGGTATATATATTTGTTTTTTGCACAAAGCTGTTTGATGACCCCATAAACAAGATGCACTTTTAGTTTTGTGTAGTAATGTTGTTATCTCTTGACGTTTACCCTATATCTCAGAATCTTAATTGACTTAAGGTTGGCAAAGACAGTGAATCAAAACATTACACAGGTTAGAAAAAGAAACAAAGGTCAATCTGCCAAAAAGATATTATACAAAAAAAAACTCGAGTAACAAGATTACCACTAAAATTCGAGAATAAGCCAGTTACGTGCGCAGGAGAAGTAAATAGCCATTTACCCAAAAGCTGGATTATTACAAAGAAAAACAATAACGAACACCTTCAAAAATAAATCAAACAGAATATGATATCTGAGTATTGATGCAAACTATTGATACTGATCAGAAAGCTTCATTTCGTACATTTTTTATTTGAAAAAGGTAATCATAGTCATATTTCTAAGTTCATCAACAGAACAAAACTCATAACCTTTATATGTTTTCAGCAATTACACAAACGCTTGTAAATCAACTAACCACCATTTATCATGCTTACTAGTTATGTGTAAGCTAACGATGGTATCTCTTCCCTGGGCAAAGTATACTTGCACGCAGTGTGAAAGAGAGTTCCAAATATGACTGTTTATGTCAAATTGATAGTTCACACGACATATGGGAGTGTCGTTTCAATCTGCAAAGTCTCCAAAAAATTTCACTGCGTTTCTGTGCAATTTGACATTGAATACTGTTTCTTTTAATCGGATACATTCTCCATCACAGTTGATGTAATAGTCTTTCTGAAGTTCCTTTTTGTTTCCAGTGGTTTTTACAGTAACATTCTGTAACTTTACTCTGTAGCCAGACACTTCATGTTTTCTTACGAATTTGTAATCATACTGCAAAATAAGACACATTATCTATCAATGAAATGAGAAAATTCTTTAAGAACAGTTACATTAATTTTTTATAATTGACAATTATGCGATATTTTTTAAATGAGTGCATCATATGTTCAACAATGACATTTACTTTTAAATTGCTTTACATCAACACATGTAATGACAGTATGATAAAATTATTTTTTATAATCTATCTGCATGTAAAATAATTTGTTTCAGGCAAACATTCTCGAAATAATTTGTGATATTTTATTCTATTAAATGAATTATACATACACAATCTGGTTTTTCATTTTTAACTTTAGTTAGCTGTGACACGTGGTCTGACCATGTGCATTTGTGTGTGGTATACACCATCAGGGAATTTTGACCAAAATGAGGCGTCATTCTGCCGGATTTTTCTTTCATCATAATAGCATGGGAATCGACTGCATATATCCTGCCTGCTTCTTTGACCAAATCTGGAAACAAAATAGTCTTATTTAAAAAAATCAATAAGGATTTATTTATTATATACAGAGAAAAAGAGGTTTAGCAACAAATATTTTTAATTCTATATTTCAAAAATAAACTATACTTCTAAACATAACAATGAATAAATCATTGTAACAACGAAAATAAACCATAAGGTCCTTTTACTTCGACAAACAAATTTATTTAAAATCCATTTCCGCAACTTAGAAAAATTTTGAATTTGAAGTTTTTAAATTATTATATATGTTGCAAAACGTTTTTTCTCACTATATTTTGATGTTCAATATACAAAAATTAAATAATTCTAACAACGTAAACAGTTTTTCTTTATATCAGAATATTTTTTTCAAGTTAACCTTATGAATTCAAAATTTCATTATTATAGCGCAAAATGTACATATATACCTTCATTAACAGAAGTTTCTTTCATCAAATCGGAAGAGGATTTGGTCCTTTGCTTTCTTTGGAATTTTGGCTGTGATAAGAAACCATTTGGTAACGATATCTGTCGTCCATATAAACGTGCTGTTTTGGGCTTTTCATTTTGTGTTAAAGGATAGTATTCCACTTCTACATCAAACTCTCTTCTCTTCAACATACTTCCCAATGGAATGACTACAAAGGAAACAGATATTATAGAGGATGAGACAAAATATTTTTTTATTTTTTTACAGAGGAGGAAATACATTCTATGAGAGGCAACTGTTGATTATTTTCAAACTACATATTCTATGTAAGCGAATATTTCCCCCGTAATTTTGGCCTATACATGCATGTTATAGTCTTAGTCCAGGGGCGGATCCTGCCATTTATAAAAAGGGGGGGGGGGGTTCCTAACCCAGGATAAAGGGGGGTTCCAACTATATGTCCCCATACAAATGCATTGATCGTCAAAAAAAAAATAGGGGGGGGGGGGGGGGGGTCCCCCCTCCCCTTCCTCCTGGATCCTCCACTGTAGTCAGTTCCTTTAAATAAAACTCCAATTGGGACAACATTCTTTTCAAAAATGATAAGCTGAACTTGTGATACAAAATAGCAGTAAAATAAAATAATAATGATAAAAAATACAGAAAAATGTTTACTATAAACAATAGAAAGACGTACTGTTGTATCGGGAAGGTCCCATCCACCGAAACTTCTCACAGTCGTGCATCATATCACCAAACAGTCCAAATCCAAGCACTAAGGCTGAGTATGACAATAAATGTCTTCCTTCATGAACACTAACGATATTGGAATCAACATGGTGTCCTAATAAGATATGCAAAACAGCAGTGCGTGCACATCTTGTTCCATGGAGATATTGAACGATGACGTCACCGGAGCCTGCTGGTATTATACCAATAGGAAGAGAAGACGAAACAATATCAGCGTTGTGATTATTTAGGTTTATATTGTTGTCTTGTTGTGTCCTCTTGACCAATCCGTTCATACACTCACAATATAATCCATCACCTCCCACTGTGACAATCCTATAAAATAATGTAGGTATATCTCTATACAGGCTGTTCTGATCTATTAAAATATCGCATAACAGAAAACTGCAGGTAAATTTCTGAACAATAACGGCCTTTCTGATCTATAAAAATATTACATTACTTTTAATTTGTTCTAAATGCAAATTGCATAAAGTAGTAGCGTGCTTAAATATGTAAACTGGTATCGAATGTTTGTTTCATATACTTATCTGTTTTTACAAGCAGTATCTTTATATAATTTATTTCTTTTGGATAATGTTATACGTCACACTTACCCATCTACCTTTGAAAGGTCGTAGTTTTTCAAAATCTCCGTGGGCTCATTTTGTCTTCTTGTCACTAAAAGAAAATTGTAAAAAAAATTAAAAATATGTCTCTATAAAAAAATATTCATAACATAAGAACAACCATGCAAGAGGACAAGCATATCGTAAAAATATTAATGATATATAAAATAAAATAGGATACAATTTATTATTAGTTTTACATTACTGCTTTGAGAAATTTGGAGATTTACTCTTGTATGAATATTGTTAATGGTTTCTAAAAACCAGACTTACCAATTACGTCTGCTTTAACACCACAAAGTTGAAACAGAGAATCTGCTATCTTTTCATACACTTTGATTCCCTTCTTCTTTCCAGCGTTAGGATTAATAATCACTAATAAACTTTTCGGACGACCTGTAATAATGAAAAAAATGCTAATATTAGTTTTGAGTTAAATAATTACATTGATTTTGATGATTTATTTTAGACAGAATTAGAGTACACAAAAAAAAAAATAAAACATCACCCCTTCTTATCAACTTAATTGTATCGAACATTTCAGATATTTAATAAAACAAACTAATTTATTTTCAACATTGTATTGTGTATTTTGACTGAATTACCTCTGAATTTAGCATCCAAATCACGATAAAGATTTTGTATGTCGTCAAAGTCAGCATCCAGAGAGATCGTCTTTACGCTTAAAGTTTTCTTTTTTTTCTTCTCCACATAATAAACGGTCAAATTTCCATCTTTAGGTGTCATCTTCAACATGTGGCGAATTTCAATTGATACTGCAAAAAAAAATATATGCAATTGTTTAAAAAATGTAGAAAATCAAATATAGCAGATAAAAGAATGCAAAAGATTCATAACGTAATTCAGTTTTAATTTTGTTCTCATTTGCTTCTTACCGAGTATTTGATGCTCTGGTGTTGCTACAATCATCACTCCATCAGACAAGCTTACGTCGACGGATTGGTCACCAAACTGAAACATTTTTATTTGTTTGTTCAGTTATAAGCAGATACGGTGTTAAAATGATTTCGCCACGAAAATGTACGTTAGATATATCTGACATGTCGGTGATTTCCAGATTTAAAAATAGAATTCGAGAAACCCTGCATAAAACATAATACTTAGAATGTAATCGTGGGAGTTCAAACCGGATATATTTTAACAGTTTAATATACATGTGTTATAATTTCTTACAATAGGAAATTATATAACTATTATATCTGAATAAGGTTGTTGAGAAAAAAGAGAAGAGAAATAAAGTCATTATATTAGGAAATAATAATCATTGATGCAGGCAATCGTATTGTATATACCGCTATTTAACCGTTTCATTTCATGTACTAGTAATTCAAAGTACCTATAAATCCAAAAGGTCCCTCTTTCCCTTCACTTTACTGTATCTTTTTATATATTTCCCTGTTCTTAATCTCAAGGTAATTAGAATATTATATTGCAAACTTTAAATGTAGGTTATTACAACATGTAAACAACTTCTAACGATCTCTAACAAACGAGTAAGTGAGACTTTAAGTCACGGACGAGGCTTGTCTGGGTCAGAGAACGTCTGCAAGTCTTACCCGCGGGTGTCTGAAATTCACAGTTTTTCATTCTTGAAATGGATTAAAAACATCTAGAAATAACAGAAAATTGCGGTGCACGCTATCAAAAAGTTGGGCGATAGAGGAACGCATCTCAGTTCGTAGCAACGACGTGTTAGTAAATAAACAACGTGGCGAGAAAAACAAATCCAGGGAGAGTCACTCATGCAAGAAGTTGTAAAAGAAACATTATTTTAGAAATAGACAATATAACGTGTTACGCAATTGCACCTTGAATATTCTGTAAAACTTCTTTACCTAGAAAACAGTTGATGATGGAAAAGATGCAACCAATGATCTTTATTTGCTGACAAGTTTTTTGCTCGTTGTGTTTCAAATTTCGCATGACATGTTTGATAAAAAAACCACACACACAACAAATTCAAATTTGTGTCATAATCATCAATCAATGTGCATTGTCATTTCCTTTGAAAATTTGCTTTACGATTGATTGATTTTTGTTGTAGCGATCATATGATGAATTTTACAAAACGGTAAAGTCTCTTCAAAATGAAATTTAACATCTTAAACGTTTTTATTTCACAAAGTTGTTTTGTAAGGGTTTGCTTTGAACAATTTTAGACTTTTAGTTTAGAGCCAGGTCCTTAAGGGGACGACCAATTGATATTCACCGGGAGGGACGGGGGCAGGAGGATTTTTTACGGATTGTCTATTCATTTTCAACGGTCAAAACGCATGCTTTTTCACGCATAGTTATTTTCTGTATTTTGTGTTGCAGAATGTTCATTTGGAGAAAAAAAATGACATCTTTTAACTTAAAAAACCCTTTAATATGGAAATATGGGACAGAGGATTTTTTTGGGGGTGGGGTGGGGTGAGGCGAGGTATGATTGCCATCAGGACAACCATCAATCAAATATGAGAAGAACCTTTTTTGTCAGTTTAACCATTATTGGACAGTGAATAATGACATATTTCATTTCGTCACTTGCCTATTGTTTAAGAACTTATGTTGACCCCTATAGAAACTGTCTTCTTCAGTTTTTCTTTTGTCGTTTAGTTATGGTCTCATTAAAGTATACCTATCTACATCGTCACGCAATATTCTTTTCGTGTTTATCGTTATATGCTTAACGTTCAGTTCAGGAGTGGCAAGTGTTTTACAATAGACAAACAAAGGATATGTATATTTAGGACAAGAACAAATTTTATAATTCAGTTAGTCTCTGCTAAGTGGATCGACCAGTTTGAGATGAACCGGAAAAAGAGGACTTTGTGAAAGGGCAGAAAATTGACCATACACTTGGTCATCTACGGACCCCTCAGCACTTTATGTACTTTACTGTGCAGGGAAAGCGTTACCCGGACATATAATTTCCCTATTCTTGCTGGACGGTTGCTGCATATTTATAAGCCCTCATATCGAAACAGCACGAATCTTACGTTCGGAACGGAAAAAACCCAAGTAACCATACTTCACAGACAGGGGTTGAAAATTAAAGATATAATTATATTCTAAATGAAAAGGTATTAAATTTTTATTATATTGTTATGAATATAAACCATATAATTATACGTTGTTTGTCATTAAACCACTAATCTTCCTAGTGGCTTTGTTGATGATAAAATGGAAATATGCATCATTTTCTTACAATCCTATTAAATCATTATGCATTAATGTTTTAAGATATGTTTACGTTCATTCTTCAAAAGACATGCCTATTATTAAAATATGTAAAAGATGCACTAATATAACGACCCACTAACGTCGACAGATCTGTTAAATGTCCAAATACATTATTTATTCTACACAAGTAGATATTAAAATGTCAATATTATTTTGTTCAGCTTAATAGTTTATTTTGGTTACTCATCTTTTCAGCATTGGGTTAAAACCATGAAAATGTCAAGGATGTAAATTAAATATTTTTGTAAAAGCCTATATTTTATGAATCATGTGGATGGTACACCCGGCACAGATAGTTATGATTTTTTTCCAATTCCATTGATTCTTTTAAAACAATGTAAAACATTTATATAGTCTGACATATATAAACATAATTATGAGGAACAACCTTTTATCATTTATAATGGAGATGGATAATTCCCCTCTAGTCAGAAGTTCAATTTAATGTTTTTCCCTTCACGAAACAAAAGTAAGATTACTTACCGTTTTCGCATACGTAAAACAATTTTTCAGGGAAGGGAGAACTTAAAAAAACTATAATAGGAACATAATGCATAGTCCTATAATCTATTTATTTGCACATATTATTTTTCAGCGTTTTTTTCTTCAAACTCAGGTGTCATAATTGACATACATGCAGTTACATGACATTGGTCATCTGTGGCACTGCAGTGGATTAGATCATAACAAGAGTTCATGATCGGGAACCGTAAATATAGATAAATGGACAAAAAGAAATGCGGTCAATGACAATCAATAATTCACATCTATTTAATCAACATGCAAAAAAAGCCCTGTTATGTACACGTGGAATATCAGAGGAAACACTTTATGTGCTTAGGTCACGTGTTTCTGTAAGCTATCAGCAATAAATCATTATTAATTTTAGGACTCTTCATTTAGGGGCCGACCGTTCGGTTTGATTTTTTTTTTGGGAAGAGAGATTTGAATAGTTGGCCTAGTAAGACATTAAAATAAACAACTTTGCACAAGACCATATGAAAATGAATATTTTGCCCTACAAAATGCAGGATATGATTGTGTACAAAACTGAAAATAAATTTTCGTGCGGAAAAATAACGGGTAGCACAGATGAAAATGTATAGTCAATCCGCAATACATCTTCCTCCCCAACCCACCTAAGAATAGCAAATGGTCGTCCCCTTATGGATTAAACCTTAATATTCAATGTACGAATTTTCAAGTCGTCTTTCGCCCTAGACAGATCTATGTCACCTAGAAAATTTACTTCTCCCCGAAGTAGTCTATTTATATTAACGTGACGGTAAACTTGTCATTCAACTTTATTGTACAGTCGACAAAAACACTATGCAAAATACAATAAATCTTCAATCAATGCCTCAAACAAATTATTTGAAAAGATTAATACATGTTCCTTTAACTATGTAAATGCTATCAAATTCAATCAATTATATTCAAAACGAAAGTGTGTTAAACTGGAAAAACAATTTAGATGATATTAAATTTCTTTCTGTGAAAATCGATCCACCTGCTTAAAAAATACCCTCAAAATATATATCTTTTGTCCAATATATGTTATGACATAATCATTTGTATTTGAGACATGCTTTAGTGTTTAAAAATTTAAAATGATTGACGTTTTCTTATTTGTCATGGTATTTAATTATTACTACCTCGTTTTGGAGATAAATTGATTATTTGTTAAAAAGGAAATTATATATATGTTGATTCCATTTACATTCCAAGTTTTTATAAGTACCCTGATAGGAAATAAAAAGAGAAAAGACAATGCAGGTCATTCAACCCAAACTTGAGAACATCTCCATTCATAAATTGACGACCTGAATGATTGTGGGTGTAAATAACTAATAGTTTGTCGAATCTAGGAAATATTTTCTGCAATCAAACAATAACATCATAAATATTATGATATCTTTTTCAGGCCTTATCCCTTCTGACTCTATTTTGGTGCCTTCTGCTTAGCTCTCAAAGTATTTTTGACACATATGACTTCTAAGTGATCATTTTATCAAAAGAACGGTTCTAGCAGAGAAGATCCGACAACTTTGAATGATTTTAAACTATGAAACCGGGTCCAATCATTAATAAAAAAAAATCGACATATTTTACTTTTAGTAAACAAATGTATATGTTCCGGACCATATGAGTATTTGGACCATACGCGTATGGTCATGACCATATGCGTATATACTCATATATCCGACCATACGGGTATGGTCCGGGTAATTAATACGACGAGCGTTGAACAATTATTGCGTACGGCATAACCCTTTAAGGTGTCGTAGATTAAGACTTTCAAAAAATTAAATTTTGACTTAGATAACAATTTGGTAATCATTGTAACGTGATTGATGAAATAAAATGAATTTTACTCACAAGTTAAAATTATAGTAGAAGCATTTTTGCATGGTCATTATTAATTTGTCTTTACGAAACACGTTAAGCAAGAAGTCAACTGTTTTACACATTATCAATTGGATCATTGAACCCCCTATTTTCCTTATTTTGGTGTTTCAATTTGTAAATTAAGATTTCTTAAACATTTCAAATTATTTTCAGCTATTCTATTTGCTCATGCTCCTCTTTATACGAGTTACAATTACCGTGAGTAGTTTATACGCGCTGCCCCTCTATTCTTATGTGCAAACCACTGTTATTGCAAGATCATACGAATAAGAGTATGACACATCAGTTAAGTGAAAATAAGTGGAAAATAGAAGAAATTAAAAAAAGTTTAATCTAAACGCCGGGGATAAGAAAAAAAATGTCCATGCCCCAAACACCTGTGGTTTCAC